TGCTGTTGGCCATTTCTTCCCTGAACTCTCACACCCACCCCAGCCACAGCTGACTGACCAAGCTCGAACACCTGGCCAGAGCTGGGCCTAATACCCATCCTTGAGATTTGGGATTGAGACCCTGAGGCACTGAGGGTCAGTCTCTGTGGCTGAACCCAGAGCAAATAAAAACACAGGAACGGTACAGACTGTCTTGTGGATTGAAGATCAAAAAAAGCTACACTTCCAAGATAAAACGCCGAATTGATTATATAGAGAAGGACAGAATGCAGAGAGAAGTGCCCGGGGGACTCTAGCCCATGCCTGTCTCGGTTGCATTTCTACATTTGATTTCTCGACACTCTTATATTCTTATAATAAATTCCCTTTTGTGTTAAAGTTGGTTTAGGTTGGTTTTGATTATTTATAACTGAAAATATTTTATGACTATAACAAAATATCAGGTTACTCATTTCAATAAAATTGTTAAGTTAAAAAAAATATATATGGAATAGACCAAGCTTAGTTTAAACATTGTAAACAGAAATCATTTGGGAATGTTATATATTAAAAATACATCTGGGGGCATTGGTGCAATAATGCTGAGGGGCTGTGTGCATTCCTAGCTTTGAAAAATTACTGTAGTGGGTACTATTTCCTTCAGGATGAAGTAGAAACATGGAGAGGGACAAATAGTGCCTAGAAACAATCACTGATAAAGTAAAGGACCAAACAGTTAAAGTAGAATACATAGGGAACCAGAGAGTAGTCCCCGCGTGCTCCCTAAACCTCAGCCCTTAGCCCCAACCCACTGCGAAGTCCTGCCTGCTTTCCCACCTGGTGGTCTCCAAGTCTGTCTCCATCCACTCTAAGTGACCAGTATTTCTCGTAAGGACGCCCGCAGTGGCCACTGTAAGTACACTACGAACAGCCAGTCTTGCCATCAAAGTTCTCCACACTGTGACTAGTGTGCTAAGAAGCCCAGTCGGTCCTGTCACTCCTTCCAGGTCAGACTTTGTAGCAGCATTTGTTTTTTCTTTTCTCCATGAAGGCCTGTAGGGTACAGCCACTGTCCAGCAGTCCAGCTTCATCTGGGCGCCCCCCCAGCCCTGTCTAGGCCCCTGACATAGGCCTACTTTCAGTTTCTTGCCAGGCTCTCTCCACTGCAGGGCTTTTGCCTACATCATTCTCTCTCCTGGAACAACCTTTTCTGCCCAGCTCCCTGTAGCCTCTCTAAGTAGATCCATTATTCCTGGTGGTGTACTGTGTTCTCATCTTCCCTACCATTTGTCACGGCAGCAGTTTTGCTTTTATTTTTTCTTTGTTATTTGGTCATCTGTTTTTTCTATCAGACTGTAAGGTCCACAAGGGGAGGGAGTCTCTGATTTCGTCCTTGCCCCCAACAAGATACCTAACAGGAGATTAAGAAATATTTCTCAAATGAATAAATGTGTGGGAGGGAAGAAGAAACAAAAAGAAACCAAACAAACCAAAAATATCAGCCTCTAACTTTCATACCCTTTTTCAAAGTTTGGGTTTATAAAATTTATTTGTTTGTAACTCACAGTTTCTCTTAGATACTAGGCTATTTATGAACAATATTATTAATAAGGCTAAAATTCTTTTTACAAGTAAAGATAAAAGGTTATCAGTAGATAAGATATAATTAATGTCAGCAGGACTCCGAGACAAGCCCACAAAGGCCTGTGTCACCCACAGTGTCACTAGAACAGTGGGGAAGCCCTGAAATCTAAGCTTCCAGGAGTCTTGAGAAGGACTCTGGGGGGATGGAGGGATAGCAGACCCCATTACTAGCTTCAGCACAGCTCTGTGAAGGGAAAATGCTCTGAGAGGCGAGTCCTCAGTTCTGCTGTTCTGACCGTGAGCCTGGACTGGGCAGGAGGGAACGTAAGGCAGCCTTGGGGAGCATTAGAGGAACGAGTTGTTCATGTGCCAGTTGATACAACTAGATAGAATAGGTTCCTTTTCCTGTGCCTTGGCGTGTGGCCCCTGTGAAACTGTGTGCACTCAAACAGGAGGCACAGGTTACCCTGCTGGAGGGAGATCTTTCATCTAGACTGTATTTTGGGCTAAAACTTCTGCTTAAACTTTCCATCCCAAGAAGAAGAAAGGAAAGGAGGTCCCAGAGATAGAAGGATTGGTACAGAAGCCTCTGAAAGAAGTCAAGTTGTGGAGGTGATGATAGATATTGATTGCTGGAGAGAAGGGGGATGGCACTCAGGGGCTGAGAAGGCAGGAAGAGGGGAAAAAAAGAAAACACGGGTGACTTGCCTAAGAGTGATGGACGAGAACAGGTACATCTGCTAGCGTGACCAGATTTTCTGACAAATATTCCCAGAGCCCATAGGTCAGTAGAAGTGCCAGTAACTTCAGCTAAACTTTTCTACAGAATATCAGTTTCATTTTAGAAACAATAACCTGCCTGCAAAGTTACAATTTAAAGTCCAGAAAAATATAAATTTATATAATCAATTACATTGCAAAAAATTGTTTTCATGAAAAGAAGTAGTACAGAGTGCTCTGCAAAAGTGTTTTTGTTAAAATTCCCACAAAGAGGATTGACTGAAATTAAATCCAGGGCTCTCTCCAAAGAGTTTTACAAATATCGCCATCCATGCAGTAAGAAGCACAGGAATTCTGATGAGAACACATTTTCCCAGAATTCATCGCCCACCTCCCTTTCACTCAGGAGGTGGCCTCTTATTCAGGCTGTTGGATGTAACCAGTGAACTGAATACTCGAAACCAATTTGCTGGTTTGAGAAGAGGCCATTGATTCTCACAGCATGTGTATATTTGGAAAATTTTATTGTTTAACTCTATATGTGGATGAATCTTGCTTCATACTACTTTAAGTAGGTGAGGTGTGTGAATTCTGCTTGTTGTATTGAAGTTTTCAGAAGCGTTTAAAGACGTTTAACAGGTCTGAATGTTGCTTTCGGTTTAAAATGCTGTATGTACTTTTCAGAAGCTGTCTGGTTAGGTGAGGGGTGTTTTTTTGTAAACATGTGCTTTATGTGGAGGGGAGGATGTTGGGAGAGAAATTTCCTGTGCACTCTGCCCAGGACAAAGAAGACAATGGAAGGATTGATAACATACCAAATTAAATAAGTATATTCCCGGATCTTGTTTAAAATGATCACTGCTTTGAGCTATTGGTGAGGTATTGTTTTTAGAATTGCAAAGCCCAATCAATGTATTTGTTATATTATATCAGCGTTTATTTTTCACATGATCGAAATTTGCATTCTTGAAATAAAAGGACCTTCCTCCACCACTGGTGGAAAGCAGGGACAGAGGGACTAGTTGTCAGGCAAACAGGTACTCTGCGAATCACCTTGTGTGTTCGTACTACTTTTTACTAAATAATAAAAGCTTATTAAATAATAGTCAATTCTCTTGGGTAAAAAAGAACAAAAAGTTTTTAAAATTTATTCTTCAATTATCATTGACAGACACTATTGTATTAGTTTTAGGTATACAGCATAGTGATCAGATACTTACACACCTTATGAAGTGATTGACCTGAGAAATCTGGTACCCATCTTAAGCCAGAACATTCAAGGTCATCGTTGCTTCTGGGTGTGTTTAAGAAAGAATACATGTGAGGTGGTAAAGCCAGATGCTGCTGAACATTCCCCTTCAGGTCCTGAAAATGGGGGTCCACCCTATCCCACTACATCCCCCTCCCCGCCACTTTTCCCCTAGAAGTGTTATTATTGGTTCATTCCAGCAGGAAGTCTGTCGTGTTGAACCAATTTGAGCAGCTGTTGTAGGAGAGAGAAATGATTGATTATTCCCAATCATCATTCAGAAGAGAACCATTGGGAGCAGGTTTGTGGATAAATCCACAGCCACAGGGGAGGACTTTAATTTGTAACAAGAAAGATTTCCTTTTGCTTAATGAGGAGAGACGTCTCTGACCCTTTACCTATATGGGTTTACGGTGGAAGGCAGGCCCTAGGGGTATTTATCAATTTGCACTGAGGAGTCTTTCTACTATATGGGTAAAAGAAGTAGAACTCCCTAGGGTCCTCATTTGGAGTGGACAATTGGTGGAGAAAAGAACCAAGTTAATATTTTTTCAAATATCTGCATTTTTGGCTTTGATTTTTTAAAAAAGATTTTATTGTAAAAAAAAAGATTTTATTGTTAGAGACAGGGGAAGGATGGGATAAATACAGGGAAAGAAACATCAACGTGTGAGAGATACTTTGACTGGTTGCCTCTTGCACACTCCCACCTGAAGACCTGGCGGGCAACCCAGGCAGTGAGTGCCCTGACTAGGAATTGAACCAGCGACCTTTCGGTTTGCAGGCTGACACTCAATTGCTGAGCCATACATAGCAGCCAGACTGATTTTTTTTAACTGACAAGTTATTTTTATTTCAGGGCCTGTGGTCGATACAGAAGATTGTTCTATGAAATAGAGTAACTGAAACCGAAGAAAGGACTACAGCGTCTAATCAAAGGCATGCCACAAGGGACCAGACAGAATGGAAGTCTCCGTGAACAAGCAGGGGCAGAGACAAGCTGTGTGTGAACAGGCAGCCGAATGAGGAATATGTAGTTCCTTGTGGGGATTGCCAGTACGTGAGGATCGTGAAGGACAAAGACTCCTCTTAAGGATCTTGTGTTATTTTTTTTCAGAGACTGCACAGTAGGCACACCAGCCATACTGCTAAACAAACTGTTATGTTTCTACACTGTTACACGTTTTGGCGATTAGCCGCTTGGGAACCTGTCTGCCGAATTTCTTGAGAAAATCTCTGAGAGTCTGCAGCTAACTCCTACTGAGGCAGCTTTCTAGATGCGAGATTCATCTTCGTGGGCATTGGGTTTCCTTGGAATTCAGCCATCGGTTCAGTCCAGAGCAGGTTGCCCAAAACTGAAATTCTTCTGAGACACAAAAACAGGAAGGAGTTCTTAATACGAACGAGGATGAGAAGTAAACTTTTCCCTCTTGGCTCAGGGGAGGAAGCAAGTTTGAACTTGGTGAGAACACTGGCAGAATGATATTTGTAATCCATTGGCTGATTTTCCCACTCTGGCAGCTCCTATTGCTCTGCCCCACCCCCGTCCCCCAAACCCATTCAGTCATCGCTTGTATCAGGGGACAAAAGAGTTTCACCAGAGAACAGAAAAAAGATTTTTGGATGTCAAAAGTCAAACCTTTTTGTAGGTTTAGCATAGAAACTGTAAGGTGAGTTGGATGGATCACAGCCTCTAGCCTTTGGTAGAACATGATGTTTTCCAGGTGTGTTGGCAGCGAGAGAAGAGAGGGTATGATCTGGGGGAGGAAAGAGCTCTTGGATGTTAGTGGGAGGTGAGGAGGAGCAGAGAGAAGGTGAGGGTGGAGGGGAAGCAATGAGGGCTCACTTTTAGGCACTGGTGCCTTCTCTCTACTGTTCGAAAGGGGCTCTGTGCCCTGCTCCTCAGAGGGGAAAGGTGATGGATACAGAAGCACCAGATGACTTGGGCTGTCCTCACTTCCCAGAAGAGCCCAGGGAGACTGCAAAACCTTAGCACAGAAATGGCTGAATGGTAGCTAAGGTCCAGAGAATCTGAGCCAGGCACAGGGAGTTGAGTTGATAAAGTACAGTGTGTGAGTGTTAGAACAAGGCTTCTGTGCCCAACATTGCCACCAGAGCAGTAGCAAAGGATCCACAGCTTTCAACTGGCATCTCAAGTGGGGGCAGCCTTGTAGAGCGGAGCCCTTAACCTGTGGGATCTGACTCTACCTCCAGGTAGAGAGTTCCAGAATTGAATGGAATTGTGGGACACCCAGCTGAAGTCAGAGAATTGGTTGGTGTAGAGGGAAGGAAAAATCAAACCCTCACATTTGGGATCAAAATTGTTTTGGGTGAAAACAGTTTAGACCTTTTGATATTTTCTCTATTTTCCAAGGCATCATTCAAATTTTACCTGTTCCCAGACACCTTTCCAGTTATTATTATTTTCTCCATCCTCGTGTTTTGTTAGCGCTTCACACATTCATTATGGCTCATTATCAAGCCTTGTATTGCAAGTTAGTGTCAGTCGCTGGGTGTGCACCCCCAGCAAAAGTGTTCTGTCTTGTGTCCTCTCGGCACCTTCCAGGAATTCATACCTCCTTGGCTGGCAGGTATTTGGGTCCCTGGTATGTAATAAAGCCTCAGTGCCCATTCGTCAACTAAACTGAATTTAACATTTTTGTGAAACATGCATGAGACAGATCCTTCCCTTATTTGTTGTGTGTCCTTTGGAGGTGTTGCTTATTCGCATTCAGCCCTCACTATATAATATGGGGGTGGACAATGAAGCCTACTTCATAGGTCATGCTGAGAATTAAAGAAGAATGGAGATAAAGGGTCTGGGGTGCAGTGTGTGTTCGATACAGGATGGTGAGGGGGGAAGAGGTACAGTATCAGTATCTATTGCAGCCATCAGCACTGATTTGCAGTGATTTGTGGTTCCGGTGTTCTTGCTTCCAGCCTCTGCTTTAGGCCCAGGGGGAACAAATTCACAGAAGATAATGAGTCTCAGACTCTTCCTTGCTTATGAGCAAGAAGTCCCTGGATCTAAGAGGTGAGTAAGAGTCTGAGCTTACTCACTGGCGAGCTGGACTTTGGTGTGGAAACTTCATTCTGAATTCCTGGCACAATGAAAAGGCCGGAGTTAACAGCAGAATCATCAATTATCTACTAGCACCCAGAAAGGAGGGGAGATGTAATGCTTATCTAAAATTCAGAAGACCCTGTGCTAAGAATGGAGGTGATTAGGAGGGGAATTCAGGGCCCTCTTGTGGCCATAAAAACCACTTCCTGAGCCTTTTGGGGCTGGAATTTGCATATTTTCTTAGAACAGTGCCTCATTAATATAACATTCCACTCTAAGACTATAGAATATTGCTAAATCAGGGAACCAGAATCATGCCCAGAGCATCTTGTTCCTGAAATGGGCCTGGAAAGCTGTGGCTGGAGAGTGGAGGACCAGGTCACCTGCCCCATGGCCTCAGACCAGGTGGCCTTTTGGATTGTTGGGAGGTTGGGAAAGAAACTCTCATTGTTTATTTCCTACCTGTGCTCTCACAATGCTCATTTTCATGCCCAGCCATTACAGCATCCTTCATACCCTATAGTTTAATCACATTGAGCACAGGATGGTGTGAATATTATGGCTGGAATTAATAAAATTGTGGTCCATCTATATGAGTTCTTCCTGCTGCACCCTCAGAGTGGGGCCTCTCGATTTCAAACTTGTGTGTGTCCATAGAGTTGTCCCTGCATGAACTGGAAAATGCCTACTGTCTTTCTGCTCCTAATGATTTATAACCTGAATGACATACCACATTAATCTGTGGATCTCTTTTTGAATTAAAAAATTTTTTTATCCTTACCGAACACATTTTTTATTGCCTTTAGAGAAAGAGAGAGGAAGAGAGGAAAGGAGAGAGAGAAACATTGATGTGAGAAACATTGATGTGAGAGAGAAACATTAATGGGTTGCCTTCTGTATGCACCTGGACCTGGGATCACACATGATGGACCAGGGCTTGAACCCACAACCCAGGTATGTGCCCTGACTGGGAATTGAACTCACAACCTTTTGGTTATAGGATGGCAGTCCAACCTATTGAGCCTCAATGGCCAGGACTGTGGATCTCTTTTAAAAATACAAGTGCCTGCTGTGAGTGTGAGTCAGTGGGTCTGGTATAGCCCACTGGAGTCTACATTTTAAAATTCTCTACAAACTACCTTGCTTCACAGCCAGAGCTAGGATCTAATCTGAACTGTAAAACTATATAGTTTTTCTTAATAAGAACAGTGAGAGATGAAACATTCCTTCTTTTGAGATGCAAAGTCTCGGTTGATCTTTTCCTTTTTGCTTTGTTTTCTATCAGTTGATAGGCATAAAACAGGAAACTGGCTGAAATAAAATTGGGAATAATTCTAGAGCAGACAGGCATAAAATAGTAATAAGGACAAGCCAGGAGAACATTTGCAGAACAGTGGCAGTAATGCACAGCTCATGGAGGTTATCACAGCCAATTAGGGATGCAGGCTGGGGAAGATCAAGTAAAGGGTATAACCTGGGACAAATAGGCACATGGCAAGGTTGAATAACTGTATTTTATAAATTCTAAAGCATCCATATTTCACACTTGAACACCCCAGGCATCTATCTGCTGGTCAGAGCCAAGTTGGATGGATTTGTCATTGTCTGTGTAGGACAAATCTTGTCATTCTTCATGGTGACATGACTGGGCAACTTCAACCCTCAAAGTTTACATCAGAAAGCAATTTAAGTGCTATGTGAAGAAAGAATAAAAATCCTCGTTTTTGTCTAAAAACCCACTATTGTCGTTTACAGATTATAGCAAAAAGTAACAACATAGAAGCCTTCAGACCAAACACTACTGGCTTGGAAGAAATCCTGCAGCTAATAGTGAAATGCTTTTTATTTTTAGTTTTTAAGTATATTTTATTGATTATGTTATTATAGTTTTCCCAATTTTCCCCCTTTATTACCCCTCCACCCTGCATCCCCCAACCCTCTAGCATTCCCCCCACTTAGTTCATGTCCATGGGTTTTAAATAGAAGTTCTTTGACTTCTTGTTTCCTATACCATTCTTAACCGCCCCCTGTCTATTTGATGCCTGCTAATTATGCTTCTTCTTCCCTGTACCTTTCCCCCCTATTTCTCCCTTCCTCCTCCCCATTGAAAACCCTCCTCATGATCTCCATTTTTCTGATTCTGTTCCTCTTGTAGTTTGCTTAGTTTTTGCTTTCATTGTTTTTCTTTCTTTTTTTTTTTAAAGATTTATCTGTTGAGAGTTGTGAGTTTGTTGTTATTTTACTGTTATATCTTTTATCTTTTCTTCTAAGATAAGTCCCTTTAACATTTCATGTAATAATAGCTTGGTGATGATGAACTCCTTTACCTTCACCTTATCTGGGAAGCACTCTATCTGCCCTTCCATTCAAATGATAGTTTTACTGGATAGAGTCATCTTGGATGTAGGTCCTTGCCTTTCATGAGTTCAAATACATATTTTCAGCCCCTTCTTGCCTGTAAGGTTTCTTTTAGAAATCAGCTGATAGTCTTATGGGCACTCCTTTGTAGGTAAGTCTCCTTTCATCTCGGGGCTTTTAAGGTTCTCTCTTTGTCTTTAATCTTGGGTAACTTAATGGTGATGTGCCTTGGCATGTTCCTCTTTTGAGTCCAACTTCTTTGAGGCTGTCTGGGCTTCCTGGACTTCCTGGAAGTCTATTTCCTTCACCAGATTGGGGAAGTTTTTCTTCATTATTTGTTCAAATAAGTTTTCAATTTCTTGTTCTCATTCTTCTCCTTCTGGTACCCTATAATCTGGACATTGGAATGTTTCAAGTTGTCCCAGAAATTCAAACGTCTCTCCTCATATTTTTGAATTCTTGTTTCTTCATTCTGATCTGATCGATGTTTATTTCTTCCTTTTATTCCAAATGGTTGCTTTGAGTCTTGGTTTCCGTCCTGTCATTTTTTGGTTCCCTGAATATTTTGCTTTTTCCATTTTGGGTATCTTTCATTTGCTCTTTTATTTTTCAACCAAGCTCAATCAGTTTGGTGAGGATTTTGATTACCAGGGCCTTAAATTCTCCATCAGATAGGTTGGCTATCTCTTCATCACTTAGCTCTCTTTCTAAAGTTTTGCTCTGTTCTTTTATTTTGGCCTGATTTCTTTGTTCCAGGCCCTGTTAAGTTGTAAGTTGTAAGGGGGTGAGGCCTTACATATATATTCACCTGAGCAGGGTGAATGCTCAGCTGCACAGTGCAGCTGCACCCTCTTTGATGCACTGTGGTGCTGCCTGTGGGGGAGGGGCCAGAGAAGAAATAATGCAGCTTGACCGTTCATCTCTAGCGCACTTTCCAATGGACTCTTGAGTGAGACTGGGAGTTTCTCCCACCACAGCAACCACTGTAGTCCACAGTCAGCTCTGAGTCTCAGATTTCCATCAGCCAGCTATGCCTGCAAGGTCTGCCACCTCATCACCACGGTTCTCTCTGGCCCCTGCCTTACCGGTCTGGTTGTTCTGTCTGACTGTTTCTTTAATTCCGTGGTTGTCAGAGTTCCATGCAGTTTGATTTTCTGGCACTTCTGGTTGTTTATTGATTTTAGATTGATTGTTATCCTCCTTTTGCTTGTGCGAGGAAGTGAAGGGTTTTCTACCTATGCTTCCATCTTGGTCAGAACTTGGAATGTTTTTTTAAAGAAGTACTACATTCTCAATGCTCTTGAGGATGCAGGCACTAATATCATGTGGAAAAATGGAACAATATGTGAATTCTGATTTGAAAAGTGACCTAGAAGTGTTGAAATTTAAATGTGAAGACGTTTGGGGTACAGTTTAATTGGCAGCATTTTTTCTCTCCCTTCATGGTGGATAATAGTGATGCATCTTACAACTGGTGGTGTCTTAGCTTTAGTGTAATATGGAATTTGTGTTGGTCTTTACAAAGAAAAATATTAAAGAAAAGTGCAGCTCTTAATAATCTCCTGAAAAAAGCAAATATAGGTTTTTTCTTATTTGTTTTGCTTCATATGTGGGATATAAACCTGAAAACAACAAATGAACAAACAAGACAAACAAAAACCACAGACACAGGCAACAGTATGGTGGTTAACAAAGGGAAAGGGATGTGGGGGGAGATAATAAAGGGTTAAGGGGGTCAAATATATGGTGAAAGGAGATTTGACTTTAGGTGCTGAACACAATGCAATATGCAGATGATATATTATAGAATTGTACACCTAAAACCTATACATAAATTAATTTAAAAAAATTGAAGAATATATAAAACCATATAGGTGGTTTTAGCTCACCCTGACTGGTGTAGCTCAGTTGGTTGGAGTATTGCCCCATAGACTGAAAGGTCACAGGTTCAGTTCCCAGTCAGGGTACATAGTCGGGTTGAGGGTTCGATCCCTGGTTGGGGCACATACCCTGGTTGGGCATGTATGAGAAGACAAATGATTGATGTTTCTTTCTCACATCAATGTTTCTTCCTCTTTCTCTTTCTCCCCACCTCTCTCTTTCTCCCCCTTCCCTCTAGAAGCAATTAAAAAATGTCCTCAAGTGGGAAAAAAAGAAACATGTAGTGGACTCACAGGGAATCACAGACTTGAAAGGAAGTTTTCTCTGAAAAAAAAAAAAGAAAGAGACCACCATACATTAAAACAACAACAAAAAACATTTTTAAAGAAAAACAGCCTCATTTTATTAAGAAGAAATAATTCCCATTTAATGGAATTTTATAAGAGCTAAGTAGACACATGAACAGGAGCTGATGGATGCGCCCAGGTGGGCTCTCAAACAGCCTGTCACCCTGGGAGGTCTGTTCATTTCCCTGTCTCTTGGGCTGGAGTTCCGCTGAGACACAGTCATTTTCTCCACTTTGGATGCCCCGTGGGAGCATCCTCAAGACCCGTGAGCCCAGGTCCCATCCCTCTCCTATAGGCTGCCCTTTGAATAAATCAAAATAGCTTTCATATGAACCTCATGTTGCTTTTCCTCAGGATAAACAATTCTTTTATCAAAAATTTGTCATAATCTACCTTTTTACTTGAACAACAATACATTTTTTTTAATCTATCTTTTTGAGGCCTTCCCATCCTTGGGTCTATCTTCTGAATACCTTCCAACCTGTCTATATCTCTTATAACTGAGTAATATACATCCTAGGTTGTCCAGGAGTCTTAGTTTATGCCTATTTTCCAGGCTTAATTGTTACCCACAAACCCTTTCATCCTAGAGTGTCCTGACTGACCAATATTGTATATGGTTAGCCCACTTTCAACTGAACTGAATGCAGTATTTAAGGGTGGATACAGACAGTGAGAATCAGAGCAGGCTCTCACCACCCAAGTTTTGGTATTTTGCAAGTAACATCAAACAGATGTACCTGTGACTTGGGCCATGCATCACACCACTGCTTCCTGTTAAGCTTTTAGCTGGCTGCTGATCCTCAAGTCTTTCCTACAAAGTCACATCTCCTCTTGAGTAGTGCTGGTTCTGGTGGGTCTTGGCATTGGTTCCCACTAAATTTCATGAGGTTAGAATTCAGCCATTGTTCAGTTTGTCAAGAACTTTGTCATACAAAAGGCTGCCTTATCCCTTCCAACCTCCTGCTATCAGAAGATGTAATCTTGCTTTTCTGTGTTGTTATCCAAGTTCTTGATTTAAAATACCATATGGCATTGTCTTATGGCACATCACCTTTTCTTTCTTTTTAAAGGTCTTTTTAATTTTTAATTTATATTTAGAGAGAGAGGAAGAGAAGGAGAGATACATCAATGTGTGGTTGCCTCTCATGTGCCCCTGGGTGGGTACTTGGTCTGCAACCCAGGCATGTGCCCTGACTGGAAATCGAACCAGCGACACTTTGGTTCGCAGCCCACACTCAATCCACTGAGCTATGCCAGCCAGGGCTACCTTTTCTAATTTGACTTCCATTTGCATCCTGGAGTCATTAACATCACAAACTCACTTAATTGTAGTATCATCCAGATCATGTATTTCTGTGTTTTGTG